TTTAATGTTAGGTATTAAATTCGTATCAATTAATTAGACGATCATACAAAGTGATATCTGGAAATAGAAACACTGAGGAATATCTTTTTCTCTCGCTTCGTTGCACCGCTTATAAGAACTGAAATCAGTTAAAGTATTATCAGAAGAGCTCCATTCAAAAGCAGCTCAGCTGCGCCACCTACATACATAAAATATCAACCTAAGATGCATATATGTATGTATATAGGTACATATATATGTACGTTCTGTATTCCATTGTTGTTTATCAAGAAATCAATTTGAAACGTTTTCAACTTCCGACGTGAAAAAATTTCAATTTATTATCGTCTCACAGATTGGAATTGGGATGGGAGATATGAAATAGTGGAAGAGAGAGACAGATACATAAAGCGAGAGAGAGAGAGAGAGGGAGTCGCACGAATTTGATTTGATTTAGTTTAGTTCAAGATACGCACCATTTATCTAGTTGATCTCATTTAAAACGGGTCTCAGTAGCCGAAAAAAAAATACAAAAATTCAATTTATCCAAATGAAAGCGAAGCTCTGTTTTTTCTTCTTCTTGCTTTTTGTATCTTTTAGTTGTGTGGTATATTTGTATGTTTTGTTGTATCTGAGTTATGTTCACTAGTCACATCGGCACTTGCAAATATTTTGCATAACAGATTCACACTGATTTCACCTTATTCATATTATTTCTTCCTTTTTTTTTTACCGGTTTTACGGTTGCTATTTCATAATATGCACATTTAAATATATTGATATTTATAACAAAATTGCGAAACGCCTTTTGTTAAAGGGATTTGACGTATTTACATATAGATATATACATAAATATATATTCATCTGATGGTATTTCCGAGTAAAACGTTAATTTATGACGTCTGGGTCGGGCTATATGTAGAACACGAGCGAAGCGCGTCTTCAGTTCGACGAATTCGAACGAAATGACAACGTGAAGCGACGACGACGACGACAAAACACGCTGATGAATCAGTAAAAACAAAGAAAACAAAAAGCCCCAAAGGAAGCAGGAAAATAAATATGTATATATAAAAACAAGAATTGTTTTGAGGCACACAATATCAAGTAGCGAGCACCAGGTAAAAAGACGCGTGTATCTGACAGATACTCTCCCAGTGCAATCCAAATCGAACGCAGCGCAACGTACGCAACGCAAAAAAAACCGAACCGCACGCTTCAACGGCAAATTTTACAATACAAACAACAACAGCTGTTAAGTTTTTTCCGTGTATTATATTTTTGTGTGGTGCTTGCAGAGCTGTTATACTCAAAATGGCTAAAGTGCTCACAATGTTAGCTGAAGCTGTTAACATTTTCGCTCACTGTTAACACTCGCTAAGAGATCACGAGTGGAATCGTGTTGAGTGAAACTAGGGCTAGCTTCGGCTAGCGCTAAGTATGAGTCACACTGGTCTGCTCGAATGCCAGTTAGCAGTTCGCGTGAGTGAAAGAGTGAGGGAGAGCTAGCGCTTGAGTTAACAGTTGTTAGTGAGTGCACTGCGCTGAATGCGAAGAGAGAGAGAGAGAGACAAAGAGAGATAAGAAAAACTAGCTGTTAAGAGAGCTTCACTAACATTATACTAGCAGCAACAATAAAAACAATATCAAGAACGGCAGCTGCTTATTGTTTGCACCCGCAAGATGCATTTGTATCTTATGGATATTCTCGTAATGCTTCAATTCCAAACGTGTTTCACTTCATTTGTTTACTCATGTAATTTGTAGGTAAACAAATGCTAACAAACAATTACGCGGTACCTATCAATTAGCAGGTAATTAAGTGCTCTTAAGGAAATCAAAAGAAAGAATACCACAAACTGTGGCAAAGGGTAATGCACTGCGCACAGAAACCGACACAAAACAAACTGACCAACTAGCTTATTAGTTTTCACAGCAACTCCAATAGGAGCGACAACAAGTGCAGCAAAGCAAAACAAATGCGTCAATAGACGAGGCGTCTAGACCTAAGAAGAGACAAAAGGCAGTGAAGATAGAGAATGAGTGAGTGAGTGAGCGAGTGAGAAGGAGAGAGAGAAAGACACAAGTGACCCAGTGTCCACTTGGTTCTTATCGTTGGCTGCTTAATTACACGCAACTTAAAAGGCAGACCAAGACGTAGACAGAGAGAAAGAGATAGAGATAGAGAGACATGAGACAGGAGACATGAAGGGCACAACACAAACAACGCATCGTTGCCATCGCAACCAACAACAAAGCTCAAGAACGTTTAATCAATGACCTGTCCAGGGGTCGCGCTCTGTGGGAGGGTGAAAGGCAGTCGATGCCAGCATTTAATGGCACGCATTTTGTTTGATATTTATGGAAATTTGATAAGCCCAGCCAAGGCAAAACACTTTTATTGCATTCAATTCCCATTTCATATGCCATAATCAACAATAAACAAATAGATACAAGCTACCGAAACTGGATTTCCACTGAAGAAAAACGAAGACACAGTGAAAACATATCTATAATTGTTTATCTATGCCCTAAACAGGTCATATAACATTTAGCTTTAACTTTACATTATTAATATAGAAGTTAATTAAAAGCCGATGCTAAACGGAGAGTTAAGCATTCGAGTCAGGCCTTTCCTTTTTATGCTGTTGCATTTTATTTTTAATTTTCTCAAAAGTCTCTCAGAATAAGTATGTTCATAACAGAGCGATTAATTCAGCACTTGCAGTTCCAATGCCCATTTATAAACAAATTTTCTCTTTTGGATAAAAGGAAAACATAGATCGCCATTTCAAATACAAATATTGATCGTAAAAACTGTAAACATAACGGTTTAACAGGCGTGGGAAAGGGGTGGTGTCTGCAGACATATAAAGTGATCCCATAACATACACTGGGAGAAAAGAAATATACTATTTGTATACAAATTTTGAAATTACTATATATAAGGTGGAGTAAGTACATATACATATTAAGTATATATATATAAGTAAGTAAGTATATATACATATATACAATATACGTGAGACAAGACAACTATAACCTCAATTATATGGTATAAAATTTTGATATATCGAATTAAATAAATTGTATTTTTTTTTTTTTTTTTTTTTTTTTTTTTTAATGGGTATATTTTATTAACAAGCTTTCTGCTACCATAGTGGCAACTTAATCTAGTAAAAATAAATTGTAGAATTGATTTTACCACCCTGACTCAATGACAGCTTTTCTCTCACTGTAAGCATTTTGAAATAGTGGAACCCACAGCAATTGATGATATCTTACACAACATGGGCCATAAACATATATTCTGATTCAGATACATTTCGAATACGCAATGAATATTTAGGAAGACGACACGCACAAGCATACGCACACATACGACACACATATGGTTAAAATAAATAATAAAAAATGTATATATATGTATGTACAATATTTTGTGACAAGGGTTAGGCGACAGCGAACGCTTGTAGCATGCCACTTAAATTGCAATCAGAAGCAAAATTGATTTAAATTTGATACATAAACAAGAGCGAGCGAAGGGGACACAAGCAGACAGTAGGTAATTGCATTAGGAGAGCGTGTGCGAGCGATAAGGATAGCGCTATTGAGAACAGCTCGCTCCATTCAACTTGTCCAATTGGACGCTGTTCAAAAAGTGTCAAATAAGAATCGAAAAGAAGCTTCTGAGTGCAATCACAGAAAGCTTAAATAATTTTCGGCAATCTGCGAGAGCGCACAAATTCAAAATGGCCGTCGATTGGCAAAAGCATTTGCGTCATATTCTGTTAATGACGCTTATGAGCAGCAGCGTCAGCAGCGGTAGCAGCAGCCGCAGCAGCCGCAGCAGCAGCGCGTGCACGTCACAAGTCACTGAGCCGCAGCAGCAACACAAATAAACAATAGCAGCAATATCAACAAGCGCAGCATAAGTGAAGCGCATACAGGGAGAGAGCAAAAGAGAGCACGAACCGCAATCAAAAACAAAAGGAGAGCAGGCACGAACCTCAGTCGGTGGCTGCACCTGTAGGCAGCATATGCATAACATATTGCACACACAAACAAACACACACACTCCCCTTCTTGCTCTCTCTCTCTCTATCCCCACCCCCCTCCCACCCACACCCTCTCACACTAGACAAAAGCAAAGCACAGTTACGCTCAGGCTGACTGCTGTGGGGTTCATTAATGACGACGGCTCGACACGTTTGAGCGATCACCGCCAACAGACAATAAAAAGTCAAAAAGCCAAAGCGAGGATTCAGATACCCTATACTTAGCTTTAAGCCCTCTTGATACTAAGAATTAGACTCATGCAATTCAAAGCTTACTTAATTTTTGAAAATATAAAATATTAATCAACAAATTTACTATAATTTGTACAACGCAAAATCAGTTTGATGTATTGCCTGTTATATATATAAAGAAAAAAAAAAAAAAAAAAAACAATATGCCTTTTTCCAATAGATACAGGGTATTATACAGAAAACAATTTTATAATTAATATTAAAAACGCATATTTTGTTGGCCACGAACTAAACAAAAATGGCGCGAGCTGCGCCGTTGCCGTTGCCGTTGCAGCGGTTTGATATCGCACAACAACAGCAACAACAAGAACATTAATTTCCGCGCAAACGCAGCCGACGCAGAAAGAGAGCGAGGCAGACAGATTGGGGAAGGCGCATGGGTGAGACAAGTGCAGAGACGCAACGCAAGCCAAGCAGAACGCACAGTATAAAACAGATAATAATAAATTATAAAAAGGCAGATACGGCACGATCAATGGCTGCACCAAGCTTTGCCTCCTACCCCACCACCGCATCCAACATCCAACATTAATACCGCAAGTCTACGCAAAGCCACCCCTTACGTGCAGCGGAAATGCTCAATTATGCAATTCAAGAACAAAGAGAGCGACTACAATGGGAGATGATATCGCATGTGTGAGAGAGAGAGAGAGAGAGAGAGAGAGAGAGAGAGAGAGTTAAGGAGGGATAGAAAACGAAAGCTCAACTTACCTTTTGACTGAACGCCGACGCAGCGGCAGCAGCGGCTGCTGCTTCTTTGGCAACGCCAACGCCATCTGCTGAAATGGCGTGCGTCGACGGTGACGTTGCGTAGACGAATAACGGCAAAGAGTTGAAATTACGTAAAAAGCTAGCACCGTCTACGTTGCCAGCGGATGCATCCTTAAAACGCCGGCAGAACAGTAACTGTTTATTGCAAGCGGCAGCCGACGCCAGCAGAGGCAACAGTGAGGGTGTTGGCGTTGGTCGCGCAGCTGCCTTTGACATTGCATCAGTAGTTGACGCCTGCAGCGATTCTGAGGGCGACGCCGCAGCTGACGGCAACGATGGTGGTTGTGGCTGCTCCTCTGATGTTCTTGTTCTTGTTGTAGTAGCAGACGCCATTGGCGTATCGCAATTTTCCTCTTCTTCTTCTTCAGTGGATTTTACTGCTGTTGTTGTTGTTGTTGGCATGGCTGCGCGTACTATAAAACAAAGCTGGCGTTGCTGCTGCTGCACGCTTCGAAGTGGGCGTGGACGTAGGCGTACAGCTGCAAACGTCCTTTGTTGTTGTGGCTCGTGTGATGTGAGAAGACGATGGTCCCGCTTTTAACAACTGGGTGCCGCCGCATGTTGCAAAGACTTACGCATAGAAATGACCTCTAACTAATTTATCTTCACACTCACAAATATACGCACATACTATCGCACACACACACTGACACTCACGCTCAAAAACGCACACACGAGCACTTTGTCGCTTCGCAAATCGGCAGCAACAACAACTGTTAAAACCGTAGCTGCAGCCGTCTGTATGTATTTGATCGTTCACGAAACGTTTTGTCGCTTTGAGACATGGAAAACTTAAGCGTTGCGTTCGCTAAATAATTAACCGAATTGATTTATTCATGTGAAGTTTGCTTGCTAATTTCCTTTTTTTGTTTAAATTTGCAGACAGTTGAGTGTGGCCGAACTTCACAAGCGGCAATATCTGCAAGTTATGTACCATACTTTGTGGACAGTCTGGTAGCACTGTTGCCCCACATAAAATTTTAAATAATACCAAAAAATACTTTTTTATATACCAACAGCTGGGCAGTGCAGGATTTCAACTCAAATTTTCAAACAGAGTAGCTGTTCAAACATTAGCAAATACATAGGACAACTCCATCAAAATTCATCAGTAAAAACATTCCGGCAGCAAGCAACACGTTGTGTGCTCATAGAAACAATTAATTAACAGCATTTAGTGCGCGCAGACAGAAAACGCAGCGGACATACACAATTGCGTCGCAGCCGGTTTAAACAGTTTTTGTTGGTTGGAATTTTCGATGTGCCTTCGTTTATAGTTCTGACGCTGATTTTCGATTACTAAATTTTCCAAACACGCACACGACGCCCCTTTTCCACTTTCCATCTAACTGCGTTGTTATTTGCTGCTGCTATCGCAAAAGGTAAGTAAATAATTCATTTAAAATATAAAATGTAAATGCCCAATTATTGTCATGTCGAGTTGCCACATAGATTAAATAGTCTTTTCCCTCTCTTTGCAGATAATATCGATCTGGCCAGACAGTTAACTGCATGAGATAGCTGTGCTGTTCTCTTGATGAGTGTTGAAAATTATCATACACTTTCCAACACCTAGACACGTCACACACTAAAGTCGTCTCTGTCACACTCGCGCACTTTGAAACGTCGTTCACTTCGTCCGCTGTTAGTCATCGTGTCGGTCTCACTCACATCCGTTCGTCGCTTAGAGCAGCGAAAATATCGCAGCCGTAGTTGTCGTCGGGGCGCCGTTCTACTCGCAGTGCTGCAATATTTCTAGACTGTAACCTCGGAGAAAAGCTGAGCAGAAAATAGCCAGAACACAGTGAAAATATAAAGCCTACCGCAGCTTTTGTGTTTCGTTTGGTTTTTTCTATAGCATTTTTCAATAGTTAACAATTTCTCGTTTTGTGTAATTCGACAAAGAACAAAAAGTAATCGAAAAGCAAAGAGAAACGTACAACTGATACACTCTCACCAACACAACACCACACACACAAGAAAATCAAATTTCAATCAGAAAATGGCGTTAAAAAGAATCAATAAGGTATGTGAAAAAACGATAAAAATGAAATCACATTGTACAAATCATTTTCGCATTAGTATGCATTTCAAAAGTGTAAAAGTTTGGATATGTAGCAAAAAAAAAAAAAAACCAACAAAAAAATGTGAATAGAAATTTCTTGTGCGACAAAAAATTTATGCAAGAAATGTGAAACGTAGGAACGACAACGGCAATGTACAAAGAAAGACAAAAAAAAAAAAAAAAAAAAATGAACCGAATACGTGAGCGAAAGAAAACGTGCAAAAAGCAGAAGAAGCATAAAATATGATTGGCGATGACGACGTGCATTAATTACAACAGAAGCTAAAAGAGTAAAACAAGTTTAGGTTTAGTATTTAGTCGATGATTAATACAAATACCAACAATTGAGCAAAGGAGCCTCAACCTTATATGGGACTCTAATTAGGAATAGCTGGCAATATATCCTGTGCATGTGCATGTGTGTGTGAGCTGGGCTAGGCAACGGACACGGACAACGTGTACGGCCATTTGTATTGGTCGTTGTTTCCGTTACACAGTAAATGTGTGTGTGAGTGCAGTTGAGCGGGTGGCAATGCATGCGTGCTTGTGTGTGTGCATGCATGCAAGCCGGGCACCTGGTCAACACCGCCGTCATCTGGTCAACTTTTGGCCAGCAGAGTCTCAGCGCCGCGCTCTCGGGCTCCGCTATGTTACCCAATACATGCCGTTGTGTATATATAAGTAATATTTATATATATAGCAGGGCACTCACACGCGCGTATATTCCTCTGTTTATGAGTGTATGAGTGCGTGTTGTTGTTGCCAGCGCCACAGAAAGATCCAGCAAAAAATAAAACACGGCGAATACATGAAGTAAAAGCGTATAAAATTAACCTAACCTTACTTTTTGCGCTGATAATTCAGAAATAGTGCTGCCTAATATATATATGTATATATACTCACACGCAGGCACTTAAATATGTATGTATKCGTGCCCATTGCATTAATGTGCCGATGAAATTTGTGTGAATATGCGTGTGTGAAAGCGAGTAAATTTATTAATTATTTCTGCAGTGACTAACAGTTGAAAGTGCCCAACTCCAAACTCCTATCTGCTGGTGAATGGACCAGACAAAGTGCAATTGACTATGCAAATGATTTAATGTGCATTCATATCGCATAATATAATTTTCAATGGAATTTCTGTTGCGGTGTCCGCTGCCCCCATCTGCTGCAGCTATTGACTCGCTCACTCGCTCGCTCTCAAGGGAACGACAAGTCACCCTCTTTTGCATGGTGATATGTTTCTCTTTGACATTTCAACGTTTAACGTTCATGTTTAATTCTTTTAAAAAGTCTATATTCTATTTACATTATAAGCGCTTAAATTTATTGCTTGAAAATTAAAGTTCGATTTGAGTGAGGCCGGTTCACCATCATAGCCCCCACCAACACACACACACGCACACACAAACTCAGTCATACGCTTATAAAGTCTTTGCACAGTCACAAACAGTGAACAGCACCGTATGAATTTAACCATCTCGCTCACACACCCCCATGAGACGCCCAAAGAGTGCTCGGTAAAATCGGCAGCAGCTGCTAGTTCGTCTGGCCATACACTGTATTTGGCTCTTTCTTACGCGCTAATGTTAAGCGAATGGGGCAGTGCTAAGAGAATTTGAATGTGTGCGTGTGTATATGTGAGATGGCAACTGAATATAGTGTTGAAAAACACTGCAGCATATAGAGCACAAATAATTACTACAAAAATATAATTTAACATAATTTCAGTTTAAATAATGTACGCGACAGTAAAATATGTAAATTATCGCTAATAAGTCATACACGCGAGCATATCTATATATATACACAGTATATGTATATTTATGAATGTATATGTGTGTGTGTTGTCTGCTCATGTGTTGAAGGGGGTCTGCTGACTACTCGAGCAACAAAAGCAGCGACGCTGGCGTTGCCGTTGACGTCTGCAGCGTCACGAACCACGAGCGTCATGGCCATTGAATTTTTTCTTTAGGTGCTGTTTTTGTTATAAACTTTGATACGTACATATATAAACGAAATGAAATGAAAATGAAATACTGGTGAAACTGAGGAAGCACCCGTAATGCTAAATGAATTGATGTTAATTTATTATTATTTCTTGTCTTTGTATTTTTTATGTAATGTGTCCCTCTTCCCCTTCCGTGCGCACAGCTAACAGCTTGCAATTAGCAAGCAACTACTTTGGTTTCCCCCCTACTCGTTCGCTCTATTCTCTCTAACATAGCCAAGGTTTCGCTGATTGAGCTGTTGCTGCTGTAGTTGTTGTTGTAGTCGTCAGTTGGCCTGAATTGCCAAAAGTGAATTGAATAAATAGAAAAAGAAGAGGAAAAGAAATATACGCTCTGTAAGCCGGGCTCTCGCCAGCTCTCTCTCTCTATATCTATCTATCTCTCCCACACGAGCATGCTGATCAAGCCATGTGTGTTTGTGTGCATGCTTATTCGTGTGCTAGCGACCGTTAGTTTGTTTTTATTTGAATTATAAAGCAAAACACTCACACTTGCTGGCGCGTCTTTGTGGCCAACGTGTGAGTCATGCCGTCGGCAGAGGTGGCCTGGCCGCATTGAAAGTCTCCTCGAACTTGGTGTTCGCTTTATTTGCCGTTCGTTTTGTAACAGTTTTCTTATGCCATGTTGTTTTCTTTTCGCTCTTTGTTGTAATTATTTTTTGCTCAACAGGTACACGTCGAAAAATGCGTAGCATGTGGCAAAAAGAAAAGAAGTCTTTCGAATCTATTTATATTTTTGTGCGTCGCGCATATTTTTCTGTTTTTTCCGTTCGTCGATGTGACAGCAAATAAAATGTTTTATTTTTCTTTCCATATCATTTTGTGGCTGTGCGAAATCATCACAAAGAGAAGTAACGACAAAAGCTTATGCTGCGACTGAGGCAGCGACGGCGACGGCGACTGCGACAGAGGCAGTCAGCCGTTCGCTTTAAAACTTTTTCCTACCCCTCCACTTACTGCAATCCTCTTTTTCCCTTTGTCTCTGTCTCTCTCTCGCTCTCCTGCCGTTCGCTCAATGTATATTGTGCCAAGGCTCTCGTTTTGTTACCTTCCGCACAGCTCATCATTTTTCTGTAAGCGATTTTTTTTTCTTATAATTTTTTTTTGCCGGTTTACTTTACACCTATTTGTACGCCCCATGTTGGCAGCTGTGCTGCAGAGAAGATGGGCCAGGGAGGGGGTCGGGCCACAACCGCTCAGCTGTGTGCGTGCGACAGGCAGTGAGAGAAAGAGCGAGTGAGGAAGAACGAGGGCAGCCGGGAGCGGGAGTAAGAGCGAAAGAGCAAGTAGGGTGCTGGCTGTGCTGCCTTCTGGTTCGGGCCAACGAACTTGATTTCGCGTCACTCGCATTTGCCGCTGGCCGTTGCGAATAAAAATTTTCATATTTTTGTGTGCTTAAAATTCCTTGTAATATATTTGTGCATTTTAAATGCATATCATTTCAAATGGCTCATGTAAATGTATAGTAAATATGTATGGAATACATATATAAATATGCAGCAAGAGAATCAAAAAGCAAGGCGGAAGAAATTTGTATTTATGAAATGCGCATGCAAAATGTTTGGCAATTTAGTCTTTTTCCATATAATATGATATATATACAGTGAATTCTCTTTGATGCGCTCAGTTTCTTAACACGAATAACTGAAGCCAAAAAAAATGGTTTTAATTGATCATAAACCGAAGAATTGTAGATATGATCAAATATATAACATTCAAATAATTGAAGCTGCTGTTATGCTACTCATACATATATATATATCTATAATTGTCAACTAATTTAATACCTTTGTCTTATTCGCAGGAACTGCAAGATCTGGGCAGAGATCCACCTGCACAATGTTCAGCTGGACCAGTTGGAGATGATTGTAAGTATAACGACAGTAGCAGCAGCAGCAGTTATGTGCTGCACGTCACGCCTCCACGTCTTGCCTACTACGTCCCATGGAATACTTAATACATGTGTTATCAGAACTTTGAGCGTTATGTAACTGTGTCAGTGCGTAGAACGCTGCTCAAACAACTTCCTCATCTCTCTCTAAGCTTCTATAAATAGGAAAGATCTCTCTCTTTCTCCCTCTCTATCTCTCTCTCTCTCTCTCTCTTTACATATATCATAGAGAAGTTAGCTTTTTGATTTAATTCATCACGTCATAGCTTGCAGAACGTGACTATGCAGTTCTATAGTTATTTTAATATATGCACATATCATATATGTATGCATATTCCATACAGTCAACTCTCGTAGAAAGTTTTCTATATTTGAGCGAAAACTGTGCTACAATTTAGATTGAAAAAATCTCATTTGCATTTTAAAAACTTTTAATGAATAAAGTTCAGCAACTAAGCTAAACTGAGAAATTATATTCCGTCAGACAGTATCTCGTTGAATGAGTACGCCGATTGTCAGCTTACGTTATCGAGCGACTACTGTAACAATTTCTATTTCTGATTTTACCGATTCGCGGCTTAAAATTTGCAATTACTCATTTAATTAAATGTTAAATGTGTGCGATTAAATGTTAACTCTACAGACACACAGACGCGCTCACATGTGTGTGTGTACATTTGTTTGAAGCCAGCTTCGTTTGCTATAGAGGTTACCTGAATGACGTCATTTAAAAGTGAAATCGTGCAATTAAAGTGAGTTTCTTTTGAGGTCGCCTTTGCCTGGACAGACGTGTGAGAGTTTAATTAAAGGCATCGAACTGATTTTCTAGTTTAATGTTAATGTTAACAACTGCTAAAATGTTGAAAATAATGTTAACAGTTGTTGAAAGAAATTGAGAAAGTCATAACTAAAATTTTTATATTTCACATATATTCGGATCAAGTTTAGAAATTGAGAACGTAAACTATGGTTAATCTTAGTGTAACAGAGCCTTTACAGAAATGTTATAAGTAATTTTTAGGTAACTGAAATGTAGAAAGAAATTTTAAAATGCATTTCTAATACATAAAGTAAAAGCATAACTTTTAAATAACTAAATGAAAGATTTATGGAAAGAAATAAAGGATTACTAGTTTATATTGTAAAAAAAAAAACATCATATTTATTTATTTCACTATACTAGAAAAGAAGATTAATTGTAGGGAGATTGTTTTATAATTTATAAGGTTAATTGTTCCAAAATATTAGTTATATGGTTTTCCAATGGATAATATTGAATACTTGATAATTGTTCGACATAGATAATCAGTAATGCTAGCACACCGATTATTAGATAATCCTCGTTTATATTTTAGCACATATATTATGTATTTATCAGTTATAAAATGGGCGCATCCACATCATGAATATTTAGTAAACACAACGCTTCCGCTTTGTTGTTCTCTGAATTCTTATCAGCGGCCGATTATGCCCGGCTGGGTATGTGTGAAATAAATTACGTGGCGATACCAAACTGCAGTGTTCGGACTCTGAAAAAATTACAAAACAATTCACATTACTCAAAGAACAAAGTAAACCTGCTTTTACATAAATGTAAATAAATTCATTTAACAATAGTCCCATAATTGTTATCGATAAACGATATATCAATTGCTCATTTTGGCTTGTGGCGAAACTTCAATTGAGTTCTAGAAATAAATTTTCTGTAATTGTATTGCAAACACACCGACAGAGCCACGCACACACACACACGCACACGCATAGAAATGTGCTAGCGCATTGCCTCTGCTGGCGTCGCAGTTGGCTGCTACGCTGCGGCCCAGTTCTCAGCCCAAAAGCTACTTGGGCCGGGCTGTGTGTGACATTGAGCGAATAGCTCCGCAATAGCCTTGGACAATGGGTGTAAGCGAGATGGCACGCTGGGCAAGTAGTCTGCGTTGAGAGCGTCAGCTGCAGCGTCGCTGCCAACAGTCGGTGCCAAGGCTCTTTGGCGATTGTTTGTTTTTGTTCTTTTCGGTTAACTCTTGCGGTAAATGGAGAGGGCTTATCGCAAAGAGAGAAAAAGAGAGAGAGAGAGAGAGTGAACGAGAGCGAGTAAGCGAGAGTGCAGAGTGAGTACTGCATTTATTTAATCACCTAACTCCCCCGTCCGCACCCTAGAAAACTGCGGTTGGGCTAAGCTGGGGCATTGCAAGGCGTGTGGTTTGCTTGATTTCGTAATAATTAAATGTATTTAAACAATTCTCAATGATTCAAACTTATCCTAAACACTATTCTCTCTATCTTTACAGTATTTCACTGGCAAGCAACAATAATGGGCCCGGTAAGATTGTCAACTATCATTCTTCACTCTGGAAAGAGAGAGCTTCGTTCGATGCAGAAAGTGCAGCACCTGTCAGCGTCACAGGGAGACCGACTTTATAGACGGAGCACTCAATGAACTTTTTAGGCCGTATCGATAGAATTTTTATTTTGATATCCACTGAGTAGATTGTTTTCTTGTCTAGCAAATCTAGCGTAAAATGTTTATCTTATCTCTCAAAGTAATTTTGCTATATAGTTGCTTAAAATAAGCAAACATGTATTACCTGTTTTCTTATGTAGTATAAGTAGGAAGAAGAGTTGGTTTTAGTTTTTAAGCAATTAAACGATAGACGTTTTCAGATATTCTTAATATGAGTATATAAGCGGCTGTAAATATTCAATTGAAGCTCCTGAGTATTAGATTTTACATTATTTGTAAAGCAACTAATTGCCTAGGTACATTTATATAAGACTAGTATAAGAGATCTACTCATTTTGAAAGTATTCATATACATATCTTAGTCAGTGTTCAATTTCCTACATCAAGAAAGGATCGTTTGCTCTAGGTTGTCCAGAGTCGAACTTTACTCAACTGGATTCAATTTAATTTCTTAATATGCTCAATCTAATTGAAATATTTGCTTCTATTATTATTTACAGCCGGACAGCCCTTATCAAGGAGGTGTATTTTTCTTAACTATACATTTTCCAACAGACTATCCTTTTAAGCCGCCTAAAGTGGCCTTTACAACACGCATATACCATCCAAACATTAACAGCAATGGATCCATTTGCCTCGATATATTAAGATCTCAGTGGTCGCCAGCATTAACTATTTCAAAAGGTAAGTAGAAATATATACATATTTACATAAAGTGTGTTTACTAACTGTATTTCTCTTTCTGTCTCTCGCGATTGCAGTCTTATTATCAATTTGCTCTCTACTCTGTGATCCCAATCCAGATGATCCACTTGTTCCAGAGATTGCCAGAATATATAAGACCGATCGGGAAAAATACAATGAACTGGCACGGGAGTGGACTAGAAAGTATGCTATGTGATGCGTTCCAGATTGCAGCAACAACAGTCCAACAACAACAGCAACAACAATAAGAAAATTAGTAACAGCAAAGAAAACATCAACAAAAACAACAACAACAACATCAATAGCAAACACAACAAAAGCAACAAAGATTACATTTAACAATAGTTACAACAGCTGTGACAGCTGCCTTCTCCCCTGCTTTAGCATCAACATCAGCATCGGCTCTAGCTCCTCTAGGAATGGCAACAGCGATGATAGCATCAAAAGAAGGAGCTGAGGCTGCAGCAGCAACAACAACAACAGCAACAAAAACAGCAACAGCAGCAGCAGCAAACATACAAACACCAATTAATAACAGTAACAATAACAGCGGCAGCAGCAGCCACGAGTGGAACGGAGGCAATGTTCCAACAACAACAACATCAACAGCAATCAAATGCAACTGCAGTAAGAGTTACGGCAGCAGCAACTGTCAAATTGGCATGAAGTTTATTTGACCGCTAAAGCCGCAGCAGCAGCAGCAGCAGCAGCAGCATGAAAGGAAAATAATTTAATAATAATTACTGAAAAAAGAATTATGTAAGCATAAACATTTAAAGCGAGACAGCTACCAACAACACAGCATCCCACACATAATAAGTTTAAAAACAAAACAACAAATAAAGATCAGCTGGAAAATTATTATTATTATTATATTATATTTAAAGAACCGGAAAAATAAAAATTACAAAAATTCAATTTTCTATCACGATGCCAAAAGCCTTGCAAACAATCAGGTCACACATTAGTATAAAATCAATAATTCCTTTAGTCTAACTGTCTCATCCACACCTACATATATATATCGATATATATAGCTACATCTATATTCATCTGTTTCTAAGAAGTACGTAAAGAGATTTGTCTAAACTAAAATTATTAAATGCAATTAGTTTTTCTTTTGGAAGGAAATACTTATGTTAGATCTGATTATTTTAAAAATCAAATAGAATATAAATTTTATTTTTATTAAATTGTATATCATATATGTAGATGCAATTCTCTGATGAATATGACACTCCCTCTGATTGTGGGTTATTCCTTTTGTTCTGTTTCAAATCAGAAATGCTTTATTCCGCATGCTTATCCCAACTATTTTAAAAACAGTATAGTTCAACCTTAATCTTTGTAGTTAATTCAATGAATATTGGTCTTGTATAATATATTTAAGTAATTGAAATATTTTAAACGTAACTACTTTTGGAATCCTAAAAGTTTTTTCCTGCATTTGTGTTAGTTGATCTACATGAATGTAAGTGTACATTTTTACGAAATTGAAAGTTTCTGGAACTATAAGCTAAAGTTTATTGCTTGAATTATTAATGTTTGTTTTCATATTGCAATAGTAAGACAGAATGCAGAAATCCTCTTTCACAGAATATTTTCAAATATCAACTCTACAAGGATTATTATTAAAAGTCTTTTTGTGTTAGCGTATTTTAAGGCATTTAACAATTCATTTTGTATTTTCTGCTAATTTCATTTGTTTTTTCGGCGAATATGATAAGAGTGAGAGATGTCAGCAATGTATATAAATTCTTTATAGACGGTCTAGAATGTCTGTTTATCTACATATGAGCATCTAAATGTGTGTATAAGTGTGTATTGGAGCAAGTTGAGATGTGTAAGTAAAATAATTTTTTTTTTGCGATTTCTATGGATAAAGGTAATCATTTTATTGAGACATGTCATTGCAGTAACCGTTATGTTCCTTATATTTCCATCTTGTTATATGCTAAGCAAAATAGGGTTATAGAAATATGCTTTTCAAGCTAACCTATTGATAGAAAGGTATCCCTTATTTCTATACAGCTTAGGCTTAGCATAGCTTTCCCAACTGTACGAATTTGCCAATTACGATCAATTGAGTATATTGAGCTGTTCCAAGGTATTAAAGTAAGTATCCCTTGTGCTACACATTTTGATCAAAAATCCATTTTATGAGAGAGTATATTCAAGTCGGTCAATGTTAAGGTTATACTGACTATACAGCACTAGCGAATGTCAAAGACATCTGAAAAGGCAAAAGCAAATTTAGAAATGGGCAAGAGTTTAGCATAAAATAACTTTTTATTCACTGGCTCAAACTTGCACACATACATACATACATACGCAGAAGTCATACATATGTAGACAAGAACGAGAACACGCATTGGTATCCGTATTCGGGTGATGGCAACAGCTACAGCATTTTAAATAACCATTTAATCAATTCAGAGACTCAATTAATACCCGACGATGTACGTTGACGCTGGCTGCGCTGCCCCAGAATTTTGTAAAGCTTTTTGATGTATTTTTATTTGATTACCGATTCATGCTCAAGCCATATAACAGGTAGGGCACGCAACGTCTTGCTCAGAGCGCTCATTGCGTCAGAGCAGTGTTCGATACAGCTGTCTGGCGACAAGGGAACAAATGAAGCTTGTGACGTCACAGTCGCTACTCTCTTATGAACGCGTCGCGGAACTGAGCGAATGCGTCAAGTTACAGACCTCGCCAAAGATCGTTTATTTCGCACGCGCTTTGCTCGTTCGCAAATGCGAGTCGCATGCCGTTAGTTCATCTCGTTCTCCACATCTCTCTTTTTGTGGCTGGCTTTCTGAGCGCGACGATTGGAAACCGAAAACTTTGGCAAGCTGCCCGGTGGACGGCGATGCGGCGACGCTGCAGTCTTCAGTTGACGTTTAGCAAGCTCGCGGGTGGCTCGAGATCGCTGTGCCAAGTGAATTTTGTGTTCTTTCTGGCCAAACTAGAACAGAAAGTATGTACATGTGTGTGCGTGTGTGGATGTGTCTACATGTATGCATTTTAACGTGCATTAATCAAAATCAATTGATCTCCGCATAAATAAAAAATTCATTTGAAAACAATTGCGATTTGAGTGCTCACATGTTAGAACAACAAAAATGAGATACAAATCAGATTTGAGAATAAATTCAAAAGTTTCTGTACAAATTTTGGTTATGTAAACAAATTCGAAAAACAAGAGAGAATTATTATATTGATGCGATGTGCTGCAAGCACTCACGTGTACCTATTTATAATACGTAGATATTATATACATACATTATTTCTTATTTATGCACATATAGATCTGATTAATTTAGACATACATATATCCAAATTAATTTCAATATTTACAAACGCTTTCTCTATTACCCGGCCACTTGGCAACACACATTCGCACACACGTTTACACGATGCCCGAATGTAAACCTTTGTTTAGAGGCTCGTCTCGATTTTCACACTCTTCCGCGAATGATCAACAGAGCCGCAACTGGTCGCCAGCCAGTTTTGTGGAGTGTGAAAATAACTTGTAAAACTGAGTCTATTTGATTTGCCTCTTGCATGCTAGCTTCAATTCAGAAATGAGTCCACGCCCTCACGAGAGTCTGGCCGCAGCTCACATCCTGGCCGACCTGGAGCTGAGCAGCAGCACCACAACAACAACAACGTCATCATCGTCGTGCTATAATCGCAAAGTGCCAAAGGATGGCGATAACTGGGTGAGTAGCTCGACGCAGTTGATAACAAACAACAAAGTAGACCGTTGCTAATCGCATATGGCAACAGCACGTGCAAGCGCGAATTGTAGACCAAAGCGAAATGCTCAAGGAGAGAGCTTAACTTGCGCGCTGACAAATGGAGTCAAGGTCAATTACGGGTGTCTCTGGCCGATCGCTGCTTACATAAGGCACACATAGATATTGATGCACATGTATGCATAAATATATAATTATATGGCAAGCACATACATACAGATACGCTTGTATTTATGTACATTTGTCTTTCGAGGGACCATTGCGAAAGTTCCATTCACGCGGAATTCCTCAAGTTCAGTCGAACTTGAAACTGGTTTTAGGTTTTTGTTTATGTTGCACTCCCAGCCAAAACCCAATAACAAAAACAACATCAAAGAGCTAGGCTTTCCACGCATAGGCATTCAGGCTTATTCAAGTGCTATCAATTCTCAGTGTCGCACGCACTTTGCTGCTCTGTTTCGTTATATAAGCGAGAGACGCGCTGGCTTACTCAACGTATGAAAACCAAAGCCGGCTAAACCAAATTTCGCATAACTTTCAGTTCAAAGCGTTGCTCAAGCTTACAGGCGTAAAAAAAGCAGCTTTTGTTGTAAACGTGGGCAGGGCCTTTTGTACTCACTTGCACACTCTCTCACTCTCTCGCTGTCTCTTGCTCTCACCGTTTTGCTGCAATGTGAACGCCGCGTTGCGTCGTTAAGCTTTCGTGCAAAGCTTTTCATTTTAGATAACTTGGCGTGCATTGGATTTCGCTGGTTACAGTTTCGTTCAAGTTTCTGAACGAAACAGTTGATATAATTTTGGTGTTTAAAATCGAGCAGTTAACCAATATTTTACAAAGTTTCGCAATTTTAGCTCATTAAATATACGAAAACATAAAGAGATTGAAAAAATATAACATAAAGTATAAATAAACATTGTACAATCGTGATCGTTTACAAAGAGTTTTTGAATATGGAAACTACGGTTATAACGACCACAAGAACAACAACAACAACAGCAGCAGATCCTAAAMGTAATGGGCGCAGTAATAAAAAGAAAAACGTAAGATATTTGAATATGAGTGTGCATATTGAGTTAGACTAAAGTATGTTTGTAGATGCCCATTAGATCGCAAAAACAACAACAAATGCACTGAGCCCTAGTGCATTGATTTAGTAAACATTACGAAACTACATACGTCAATGCCTAGATTAATGGAACATCCTGTTTATCGATGACTTGCCATTCAAATCTGTTTGTCCAGTCAATAATTGCAAGTGCAACGATTTTAGTTTGAAAATCGTTTTCTATACTTTTTCGCAACTATTTTTTTTTTTTTTTTTTTTTTTTTTTTTTTTTTATAAATATATTGAATTGAATATTTGATAATGAATGCACTTCGCTCAGCTGCTGCTGGCGCTGTTTACCTGGAACACTAGCAGATGCTTAGCAAAATGTTGATACAGTAAATTCGTCAGAAACTGTGATTTGTTGATTGAAAGTTGATATTATATGCCACAAGTATATTTGGTATTTAGCAGGAAGTGCGTTCGATTTGACAGTTGGCATACCTTCGCAAAAAACTTGGCGAAAGGAAAACGTCTAATGTAAAGATTATTTTTCATTATATGTATTTTCTAATATATTGTATTTACATGATTTTAAATTAGATATTTTCAAAAATTCATCAGTGCAACTTAACAGCTGTAATTATGTGTGTGTGTGCTAAGATTTTGGCTCGGGTGTCGTTTCCCAACAGTAAACAGGCTCGTCCCGCCTCGGCTTATACGAGTGCAAAAAAAAAAAGAAAAGAAAAAAACTGTTCACATCATTTCGAGAATGCAATCAAAAGAAAAAACAAAAATCAAAAACAACATTTGTAAATGTAAACAAAAACGTCATCAACCTGTTAACGCGCACACACGCGTGCAAGTGCATAAACACACACACACACACACACCCACAGGTGCAGCGGATTTGTTGTTGTTATGCATCCCATATCCAGTTTATGGATAAACAAATAAAACTCAAGCCCCAACAAGTTGTTATTGTGATTATTTTTATGGGGCCAATTGGGATTCTTATTTCTTTTTTTTTTTTTAATATATCTATAACAGTAATAGTTACTGTATAATATTAGCTAGGAATCGTATATAACTAAGCAATTCACATGTTAAAGTGGAAAAAAGAAGCCGGAACTTTAGATCGCATGCAAATCGCAGTTTTTAACTTCTGACCCATGGCTAAAAAACGTTAATTTGTACTTGATCTTGTGTCTGTTCTGCTCCGATCCGCTCTTGCAGCTCGATGGTCAACTAACCACGGAACTGACTACGGACGCCACTCATCAGTTTCCGGCCAATGAGGAGCCGAATGTGCTGGGACATGGCCCGGACTTCGATGACAAGTTGGCCAAATTGAAATGGCTGTGCAACTTCGATGATGTGAGTAAGAAGCGAAACTTCATTTTTTTTTTTTTTAAATTGGCATTCCACATTTGCTTGTACACGTATCTTTGAGATACGCTCTTCATCTGGCTAAGCTTCATATTTGATGTGTGCATAAACTATTTGCGAGTGCGTGTTGTAAATGGCCAAAACGAAATGAATGCAAAACGTGGCAACAATTGCCAAATAGTCGTAATACAAATAGGCACGAAACTGACAACAACAACAAGAAAGACAACAACAACAACAACAACAGCCGACAACAGCCGACAACAGCCACAACAAACTAAATCAAGGTCGATTTTATTATTAACCAAAAGACAACAGCAACAAAAAGAAGCGAAAAACCCGCGTAGATACAGCAAAACAAATGAAGACGCTAACAAATTTTAGATCTACTCTTTTACAAAATTTAATATATAGTTATAGCTAGATATATACTTTTACATATTATCAGAGGCAGATCTATTTTACTTTTTAGTTTGAAAAATATTTTATATTCTATAAATTCTTGTATTCATTTTTTAAAATATAAAATACTTTTCTCTGACTCAATTTGTGCGAAATTAAATATTTTTCAAACTATAGTTAGATATCTATTTCTATAGATTATTTGATATACATTATTTATATAAATTTTATATTTTGTAATCTGAGATATAGCTAGATATATATTTCTATGTGTTTTGGATACATAGATAAATATATATTATTTCCTAGTTTGAAAAGTATTTGAATAAAGATTTTGTGAGATTAGTTTTTAGCATGTATTGCTCCAGGTTTTTGCCCTGAACTCGGATTAGTTCACGGAAAAGAATTTTTGTGAAATGCTTCCACATATTTGACTTGTACAATTTATACAGTTAGGGTTAAGCTTAATTTCGGCGAGTTCAAGCGAAGCTACTTAGAGCAACAAAATAATAAATGAAAGCTTTTAGCGGATCCACTTACACTTGTTCTATAGATCTCTCTAGTTCTCTTGAAGCTGAGCTCACCTTTATCAACAACTTTTCGGCTTTATCATACCGAATTTTAATTTAAATAACGCTCGGTTGCTCACATTTCTACTGGAAATTTTTGGTAGCTTTGCCAGTCAGCCCTTTGCTGCTTTTGTAGGGTATTGGAAATTCGTTAGGCTCGTCTGTTTTTGTTTTTGGTCTATAGCAATTTAAAGACATTTGCTTGTTAATGAACATTTAATTCGTATGCTTGCCTTTGCGTAATTGAGACTTTGGCCATTTTAATTTGGCACGTCGCCATCGGACCTAAAGCGTTTGCCCCTGCAATCTGCTTCTTCTTTATATACAATATATATATATATTTTTTTTTATAATATTGTTTTTATTTTTTTTGGTTTGTTTACTTCAATGCTGTTAATTGAAAATGCATTTGGTGTGCTTGACCATGCAGCACCATAAAAAATAGAACTAACCAACTAACGGGTCTTTGATCTTTTCGTTCAACACAGGCGCCAAGTCACTTGAAGTTCAATCCTTATATAAGACGCGGCTATCGCACATTCCTGTCCAACAAGCTGTGCCTGCAAAGCATTTTCTGGTGGACTAATGAGACGGTAATTCTGATTAATAATATGAATAAATATGTAATTTATTTTATCTTTGATTTCTTGAATCAAAAGCTTTAAGAACATTAGGAACTTTACAATTTTAAGAGATTTAAGAGATGTTTAAATTTTATATTGAGTTAAAATTAAATTTGTTTATATGCAACTGACGTAAATAAGATGACATTTTAAGGGTTTTAATATTATTTTATTCAAATATTGATTCACTTCCACAACAGATCAATATCTGGAGTCATCTGGCTGGCTGCATCCTCTTCATTGGGCTGACCATCTTCGACTTTCAGTTTCTGCGCCAGCACGCGGAGCTGGAGGATCAGGTGCTGGTTGTCTGCCTGCTCGTCTGCTTCTGCCTGTGCATGCTGATGTCGGCCATATACCATATATTCTCCTGCAAGTCGGAGGAGCACTACGAGCTGTTTTTGTCGGTTGATTTTCTGGGCATTTCGCTGTCGCTGGTGGCCATATATATCAGTGGCATGTACTATGCCTTCTGGTGTCACACGGTAATCGTAGTCAACTGATTGAAAATGCTAAGTAATTCTATATTATATATTACTTTTTCCTCAGTTTCTGCGCACCCTGTACTCGACCATTGCGCTGGGCATGTTCGGCCTGGCCATTGCCGTGCAGATACCCCAGCTGAACGTCTCGATGAATGGCAAGGTGGCTGTGCTGCTGCTCTGGTCTGCGTACGGCATCCTGCCCCTGGGCCACTGGGCGGTGGCGATGGGCGGATTCGAGAACGAGCTGGTTGGACTGATGGTGCCACGGATCGTAGTCATGTATCTGCTCTGCTTGGTGGCCTTTGTGTTCTATGCCGCCAAAATACCTGAGCGCTGGCTCACCGGTAAGGTGGACTTTGTGGGCCACTCGCACAACTGGTGGCACCTTATCATCGTGGCCGCCTTCTACCACTGGCACAACACGGGTCTCGTCTACGCCGAATATCGTCTGAACAACGGCTGCAGTGCTCCGATGCTATCCTGAGCTCTAGCTAATCGTCTATTGTAAATAGTTTAGATGCACTAAGATTTAACTAATATTTAGTTATAGCTGTTGAGACATATTGTTAATTTATGCACGCACTCGCACACAGCATGGTATGTGTGTACTTAGGGTTTCCTGTTTAGTCTATTTAATACGCTACTCGTGAGAATTGCGAAACTGGTTTATTTTTAATGGCCATGCAAAAATGTGAATCTGGTTTAAAATATTTTATATACACATACAATTTATTATTGCGAATATATTCAAGTACAAAAATTAATCATGTAATTTAAATTAAATATATAGCCGGGACTGACACCTTGGTTGAGGCATTAGGTTTCGTCCAGTTATGTTGCCACAGTTGCACAGTAAACTACTTAGCCATGACACTGACCACATAGGCATTACAGTTGCATACTTAGTCATGACACACAGCACGGACTTGTTTCGTGAAGTATTATAAAAACTGTGCTACACCGTATGCATGCTTATGCTTCTAGTAGGTATTTTTTACGGCAACTTGACGAAAAATGGTTCTTGTATTCGGTACACGGTTACATTAGCAAAAGCAACATGGTTTATGTATTTGCTGGGGTTATGTACTTGCTAGTATGACAATTATTTGAGACCAACTTTAACTTTAATACGTTAAATTATGTTAATTAATAATTGGCAATTTTAGTCTTAAATCACTAAATGGAATTTTAAATTGTAAATTATTTGCTCAACTGGGAGACTACTGCAACTTAAACCCTTACCAAAGGGACAGTAACCGTACACGCTCAACACTTTTGGAGCCATCGAAACGCAGCGCATCGCACAAATTACATTAAAAATGCAAATATTCATAAGTAAATTCATGACATGTCGCCGCCGCACGTCTTGTGAAGCACTGCGTAATGATATTGTTATTGTTGTTGCTGTTGCTGTTCTTGTTATTGTTGTAGCCAAACAAGATGGCGCCTGGCAAATGGGCGCTCAGTTGTTAGGTCAGGGGCGGGATCGGGTGTCGACCCTATAAAGACTTGAGTTAATTATTCATGGAATGTCGCTGCCAGCAGTTGAGCAACAACACGAGCAGCAACAGCAGCAACAACAACAACAGCAACAGACAAGTGAAGCACTATGTAGCAGTTGCGACCCTTTTTAATATTTATGAACACAACCGATTCTCTAATTATAATTAGGAATTGAAAAGTTAGCACAAAAGGACAACAACAACAACAACAACAGCAGCAGCAACGAGGACAACAAAGCACAAAGCGTAAGGCACGCAACAAAAGTTTGTGTGCACTGAATCATAATTAAAGGGGTGTGTGGGTGTGTTTTGGCTGGTAGCTGCCGGCTGGTGGCTGTTGTAGCTGCTGCTGCCTGGTGGGTGTGGGCAGTCAAACAGTGTTCGGGGTTGGCGTTTTGCTATTGCTCATAGCGACAGCTACAGCTACAGCTCCAACAACAGCAACAGCAACAAAATGGCGCAGCGCCTGCCATTTTAATGGATGTCACTTGAGATATTTTGCCAGAGGTTTAAAGCTTCACTGCTTGGTTATGGAGTTGTTGCTTCTTGGATTTATAGAAACAGCGAAATTTTTAAATGCAAGAATTTTTTTTTTATTTTTAACTGGCTGTACAAGTATATGTTCTAAAATATTGTTGATCACTTGGGCATATTTAAATTAAATTAAAATGTATAATTAAAAATTTTAATATTTAGTTTTTGCTATACATTGATTATTAATATTAACATTAATATATTTTGATGTAAAAACTCTTTGCTTGCCATAAAAATATATATCCCAAATACATTTTATATATTACTAAACCTAAGATTCAACTCGATAACTGATAATCCTTAATTAATTTTTAATCAAAATCAAATATGTATATTTCTGAATTATCTAAATACATTAATATTAATATTAAATATATTTATGTATCTTATGACAACACATGAAAAAGTCAATGAAATCGATAATAAGTTAAGATTTTCTATTGTTAAAATGGAGCTTCAACTCAATCATAATTGTTTTCTTTTTATATGTATATATGTATTTTGATATAGCCACATATATAGTTCCCGTCTCTAACTGCGAGCTCATTGAAATACTTGAGTCTATAGATAATCTCTCTCCATCAGCTGCCTTTGAGACTTTTCCTTTTTCCAACTACTCTCTCTCTCTCTCTCTCATGTTGCACTCCATTGAAGCGCAGTTCCAGCCTGATCTCCAATATATAACTCTATTATAATATCTACGTGTCCTTAAAGTGTGCTCTATGACAACAAATATGCACCACCCCGAGGCAATTTGAATATGAGCACAGCTTCAGCTGTCTGCTGGCGTGGCAGCATCTTAATCCCCTGCTTGTAGCACGGGGCAGCCACTTTCACATCTAATTACGTTGCATGCAGCGCGGTAACAACTCAGTGACGTAATGAGGCAGCTAGCGAGGCAATTTGCTTGCCGACATGCCTCGATTGAGAACCGAAATTGAAAAACGGAAAACGGGAAAACGGAGAGGAAAAACACACATTTTTGATCATATTTTGGTTGAAACAATCGAGCGACACGCGCTGCCTGCCAGCGCGTGAAATTGCTCTCAATTAAGTGGCAGCAAGCTAATACTTGCAACTTGTGGCACAACCTGCCAGCAGCAGCAGCAGCAGCAGCAACATCTTCAAGTGCAATTGCTGACGCGGTTTTTTTTTCTTCGTGTAGATTATATTAGACAGACGCCCGCCTCAACCAGCCAGCCAGCTATAAATAGAGGCTGAACGGACTGACTGACTGACAGTTAAGCAAATGAACCCATAAGTCAAATCGAACAGCCGCTCAACTGCTGCTGCTGCTGCTGCTGCTGCTTCGACTCCTGCTGCCGCTCCCGTTGCTGCTGTTTTTTAGGGCTTAAGTGGGCTTAGGTGGAGCGACAAATGGCGCGACGATGTCGGCGCTGGAGCAGTTTTTAGTTTGGTATGTTGCATGGGCAACATGCAACACGCAACATGCAGCATGCAGCATGCAGCATGTAGCATGCACATGGGCTTAACTAGGCTTAACTCGCGCTGCTGCTGCAACTATTTTTGGACACATTCTCTGTTGCATTGCTCTGTTGCACTGTTGCAGTTCATAATTTGACTTTGTCGCTGCATTTTATGCGCTTTTAATTGCCTATCTCTGCTCGCTGGATTCGCTGCTCAAGTTCGATGAGTGTAGCTGGGCGTGGCACTGTGCCGAGGTGGAAAAACAGCCCGCTGATTCTTTTCACTTTCATTCACTTTCCGTGCACGCCATTAAGTTAATGTCCTTGCCGCAGAGGCTGGCAAATGAAAGTGCTTTCTTAATATTTACATAGAACATTTAGCAAACATATGGCTGGCATGTAACTTCATTTATTTTGTGCCTGCACCAGGGAGGGGTGGGGCCGGCGGCCTGGCCGGGGTCGGTATGGCCACATTGGAAAGCGGGCCAAAACGCTTTGCCAGTTGAGCGCAATATCCATAAAATGCGCAGATAACCATAAGTCCTGTTTAAGTCGCATGTTTTTCGACCCACCGATATGGGGTATGCAGGGGGGTTGGCTGGAGTTGGGGCTACGTATGTGGCTGGATGCGTGTGGCAAGTGCGTTCATTCTACAGGACATTGTCGCAGCTTTCTCGCTGCTGTTGCCTCATCTACATAACAATAAAATAAAAGGGCCCGCTGGCTTGTCGTTTTTATACCCTGAACCCATTTTCAATGGGAAATCAGGGTATAATGGTTTTGTTGAAATGTATGTAACAGGCAGAAGGAGGCGTGGCAGACCCCACAAAGTATATATATTCTTGATCAGGGCGACGAGCTGAGTTGATTTGGCCCTGTCCGTCTGTCTGTCCGTCTGTCCGTCTGTCCGTCCGTCCGTCTGTCCGTCTGTCCGT